ATGGGAGAAGTAAATGGAGTGGTGGGATTCTAGAATATCTGTTTAGGTTGGAAGGGACCTTAAAGACCATCTCATTCCACCCCTGCTATGGGCAGGGAGACCTTCCCTTAACCCAGGTTGCTCCAAGTCCCGTCCAACCTGGTCTGGAACACTTCAGAAAGGATTTGTTGAGGGGAGAGGGGAAGGGGAGAAGTTTCCTCTCCCATTACTTGCATCAACAAAGGACTCAACTACCTCATAATATCAGGGTTTTGTGTTTGGTTTTTAAATGGGATGCTCTACCTGGACAACATTTTCAGTCCTTTTGACAGTATTTATTTCAACACTGGTGTTGAGTTTGTGCTCAGAAGGCCCTGGTCTGGACCTGTGCTTGATGTCAAAGAATAGACAGGGAATGCCAGCTCATGACAGAGTTCACAGTGTCTTTCCCCTCAACAAGTAAACCTTTAGTGCCTTTCTAATTACAGCAGGAGCTCCCAGCAAGCTGTCCTTTAAAGGGCAGGTCGTGAGGAATTGTCACAAAAGAACTCATAATGAAAGATGCTCAATTTTCTCCAATCTTTTCGAAACATGACTATGGTCCTACACCTTTACATTTTGGCTTCCCACTTTTCTGCTCCACAGCTTTCTCATGGCATTCTTCACCTCCTGGTTCCTGAGGGTGTAGATAAGGGGGTTCAGCATGGGTGAGATGATGGAGTAGAACACGGCCACGTCTTTGTCCTCCACCAGGTTGCTGGAGGGGCGGATGTAGATGAACGTGCACGGCCCGAAGAACAGGATCACTGCAGTGATGTGGGAGCTGCAGGTGGAGAGGGCCTTGTGCCACCCTGCAGCTGTCTGACCTTTCAAGGAAACCAGGATGATAACATAGGATGAGACCAGGATGGCAAAAGCACTCAGAGTTATCAAGCCACCGTTGACCACCTCGGCGACGCCCACGGCACGGGTGTCAGCACAGGCCAGGTGGAGCAGGGGGTGAACATCACAGAAGTAGTGATTGATTTTGTTTGGGCCGCAGAATGGGAGGCAAATGGTGAGAAGGAGCTGCAGGATAGAGTGGAAGAACGCCCCAAGCCACGAGCCCAGCACCATGAGGCCACAGGTGCGGTCGCTCATGAGGGCGGCGTAGTGGAGGGGCCTGCAGATGGCAACGTAGCGGTCGTAGGCCATGGCCGTGAGGAGGAAGATCTCAGTGCAGCCAAAGAAGTGAAACCCAAACAGCTGGGCCATGCAGCCCACAAAGGAGATGCTTTTACTCCCCCCCAACAGGCCGGCAATCATTTTGGGAGCCGTGGTGGAGGAGTAGCAGATGTCTACAAAGGACAGGTAGCAGAGGAAGAAGTATATGGGGGAGTTGAGGCCCTGGCTGCTGATGACAGTGACCACTATGAGCAGATTTCCTGCCACAGTGATCAGATAGAAAGCCAGAAAGAGCACCGAATATATTTTCTGCAGACCTTGGTTCTCTGAGAGACCCAGGAGGATGAATTCCTTTACACTGCTGGCATTCTCCATGTTAAGGCGTTGGGGGATATTCGATGCAGCACCTGGGAATGTGAAAAAATAAAGGCAAAAAGATTCCTCAGGTTTTTTAATGATTAAAAATGAATTCTGGATCAGAAGTACAGTCACGCTAAGAAATATGTAGGATTAAAATTAATTTTATCAAGGGTGGGGTGTTTTTTGTGGTTTTTTTGGTTGGTGGGTTTGAGGGTTTTTTGTTTGGTTGATTTTTGTTGTTGATTTTTCTTTCCTTCCTCCTCTACATGGTTAATTTTCCTTGCATGAGACTTCAGCCATAGAACCATAGAATCCCGGAATGGCTTGGAAGGGACCTTCAAGACCATCTATTTCCAACCTGCCTGCCATGGGCAGGGGTGCCACCCACTCAATCCTTCTGGCATTGGGTCCATCTGATCCAGGCTTTTGCTTTAGGATTTGAAATTATGGCAAAATCAGAAACTCTTGTGCAGGGAAAAAGCTGCTCAAGTACCCACAGGAAATGGAGAAAACCCAAAATTGCTCTCAAAATTGCCCACAAAGGGAAGCCTAGAGAGGAAGTTGGGAAAGTTTGGGACTTCTCCTGTGCTTCCAGTTGTAGTGGCAGGAGGTAAAAGGTATTCAAGAAAGGGGGCAAAATTTATAGGTCTTCTCTCTAAAAGTATCTTTTAAGGGATGGATTAGAGTTATGTGATACAATGCAGTCAATTGCAATATGAAAGAAATACAATGTGGACTGTTTTAATTTCAAGAAAGGATGAGAAATTGCACCACCTTCTTCTTGCAAGTGTTTTCCCCTAAAATCTCAGGTGGTTAATGGGAAAGAGAATTAAAGAACTTAATTTGGGACTGCAGGACTGGCTCTGGATGTGGTTCTGGGCAAAGAAAGCCAGAGGTGGATCAGTGAAAATTTCTTCTTTGTATTTTCACCTTTGAAAAATGAGGGGGAAAAGAGGAAAGGAAAGCAGAAATAGGAAAGAAAAGAGGAAGGAAAAAAGGGAAAGGATGCAGAGAATGTGGAAAACTTACCTTCTCTGTGTTTGAAGATTTAATTGTTTCTGTAAGGGCTGCAAGATTTTATCTCCTCAACCTCTCTGCGTTTCCTGAGATGAATGAGATAGAGCCCATTCTTTAGAAAACAGAGAACAGCTTCTGGAAAGCTTGCAGTGCTTGCTTAGGAGGTGCAATAATCCCACCTAATTGAATTTCTTGCTTTCCTGTATCAGCAGGTGTATCTGGATGTTTCCTGCCCACGAGAGCTGCTTTGGAGGCTGCTTGGAGATGGGTGGGCACTGAAGGCTGCACACCCAGCCCAGCAAGCAGAGAGAAGGCTGAGAAGAAAATTGTTTACGTAGCTCTTCTAAAGCATCTCCAAGGAAATCTCCCTCCTCAAGGGCTTAATTCCCTGTTTCTGTAGAACTCCTGCAGCCTCTCCAAGGAAATGTCTCCTCTGCAGGGCTCTTGGGGCTGCAGAAGGGAGGTGTGAAGGCTGAAGGAAAGGAAGTTGAGAAGGAGGAGAAATTAATCCTGTCCTGGGAGGGGAAGTTTAGATCAGATTGTAGGAAAACTTTCTTCAGTGACAGGCTGCTGAAGGGGTTTCAAACTTGTGTGGATGTGGCACTTGGGGCCATGGTTCAGTGGTGGCCTTGGCAGTGCTGGGGGAACTGTTGGACTCGCTGATCTTAGAGGGCTTTTCCAACCTGACTGATTCCAGGATTCCTTGAAGTAACAGCCAATGGATGAGCTGAATATTAAACTGGACAAGCATGTGATGTGACCTAGTCCAGTTACCCATTCCCAGAATCCATCATGAAGCCAGGATTTGTGGTTTTCCCAAGTCCCAAGTGGCCCATTGGATCCACTGCTTTGGCTTTATAGTTTTGTGAAGAAATAAAACAGGACTTCTAAATCAGGTTTTATTCAAAAAGCAAACCACATCAATCAGGAATCTTCATTTAAAAAAATAAAAATAAATAAAAAATCAGAGATCTCTGGTAGTAAGTAGAGAAGAGACAGAAGATGGTCATTTTTTGATGACCCTCCAAGTCCCTGTTTGACATGAAATTTCATCACTGACAGCCCAGTGAATAAAGTCTCTTGCAAGAACTTGCAGGTTTCAGCAAAAGTCAGGGAATTACAGAGTAAGGGGAAAAAAACCCCTTATTTTACAAATTGTGAAACTGAGGGAGGGGAGGAAGTCAGCTCTTGTGCATCTGTGGAAGTCAGCTGAGTTGAGTCTTTGCAACTCCAGGCTTTCCAATGATCACCTGATCAATTAGGGGGAGTGGCTTTCAAGTGCCAGAGGGGAGGGTTAGCTGGGCTATTGGGAAGGAATTCTTGGCTGTGAGGGTGGTGAGGCCCTTGTAGAGGTTGCCCAGAGAAGCTGTGGCTGCCCCATCCCTGGAATTGTTCAAAGCCAAGTGGGAGCAACCTGGTCTAGTGGTCGGTGGCCCTGCTGATGGAGTGGGTTGGAATTCAATGATCTTTGAGGTGCCTTCCAACCCAAACCGTTCCAGGATGCAATGAATTTAAGCATCACTTAAACTCATCACTGGTCTGAAGTTTCCTGTGTATTTTTAAATTCTGATATATGGGCATCAATCAATAGTTTCATCCACTGCCCATGACTTGGGTTTTTTTGACATTTCTTGCAGTTTAGAATGGCCCATTAACAGCCAAGGTGATGTGACCATCTCCTGACACAGAATGCCAGTGATCCATGGAGGGAGAGAAACCCTCCAATTTATGAGGAGGTTAAATAGTGCTCTGGGTGCAAATAATCTTTTAATTTAAATAGCATTTTACACTGGAGTCCTGGCCAGGTTAATAAGGGCTACCAGCAACAACTCAAGGGAGAACTACTGGGTGAGGAAGTAAAAGCAGTCTTATAGTCTTTGGGAAAGGAAGAGGAAGATGAACAACTATGTATCTGATTTTCAGTGGGAACTGCAAAGTGTAAATGGAGAGAGGAGGATTCATAGGAGGGTTTAGTAATAAAAATACGTTTTTCCTCCATTTATTTGGATGATGGTGCTGTCTGTATTTCCATCCCCTGTTCCAACAGGGCAGTCCCACCACTAAGAATATGAGAAGAGCTCTGTGGTGAGAGACAGGCCCAGGGGTATCCATTTGTGAGAGCAGCCAAAAAGAGACCTTCAGAGAAAGAGGATCAGAACCTGGATGAGTCTTTTCTGTTCAGTTTTTCCCACTCTGGCAGAGAAAATCATGGCTGGCTGACAGAGTTCCCTCTTTCTAGTGTTCCAGGCTGTTGGGTACAAGGAAAGAGCATGTCTTGGTTTTGAGGAAAACTTAGGGATAAGCACCTTGCTCCAGAAAGGGGTAGCAGCTCTTTATCCTGGCTGAAGGTCAGAGAATCCTGTCATGGTTTGGGTTGGAAGGGACCTTAATGTTCATCTTGGGAGCACAGGGCTTTGGTGGGTGGGAGGGGGTGAAGTACAGCAGAATTAGACTTGATATTGCAATCTTTGCAGCTTTGCAAGACAGCAGAAGCATCAAAATCTCCCATCTGCTCACAGCTTGGCAACCTTGCACTCAAGGTTGGTCACATGGATTCAGATACCTGTTTTAAAAGGCATCCAGGATTTGGAGTTGCACACAAGCTGATATCCATCCTTAGGTATCTGTCCATCCAGCTCCATTTGAATTCCAGCATCTCTGGTAAAAGGAGTGTTCCTGAATGGTTTCCAGCTGAGAAACAGCCACCAGTCCCATCTTATGGAAAACCAAGTGTTCTTATCTCTGCGTGGCACTCCATTTCCCCCTGCCATTTTAACATGAGAATTTTGGTTTTGTGAGGGTAAAAGGTAAAAGCATGGGATCAAATAGGGTTGAAGAAGAAGTCTGGAAAAATTAAAGCGTTTTTTTGTGCACATGAACAGGCCTAATGTTAATAATATATTGAATTTTTTTCCCTTCTTTTTTTCTGTGCATATGAAACCATCTATTTTTGACTGAGTCTTGGTCTCTCTATCTGAAATTAAAATAATAAATAGTTTTATGAAGAGTGGAAGCTAAAAGTGAAACTAAATAATAGATGGATCATGAAAATCGAACCAAGTTAGACTCAAAATGGCTCCAATATCTTCTTTAGCATTTTAACCTGAAGAACAACAGCCTGGTGATATTTCAGGTGAGAATGGGAGTTGGGATAACAGTAAGAATGGGATGGTCAGATATTCCTGCTGTTTGGTGCCATCCCAGACCAGGAGCCTTCAGCCACCTCCCAGGAACATGAATTAATTAATTAGCCTTGAATGATGCCCAGAAGTAAGTTTGGACGTGGTGGGCTGTGTGCTGGGGAAGTCTGCATCTCCTGAAAACTCTCTTTGGGACAGTGTAAAGTGACCCCTTGGATAGATGAAGCCTTTAGTGGGCAAATACAAGGATAAATGGAAAAATGATCAGCAAAAGTGAGAGAGGAAAAGGGAAGTTTGTCCAGAGCCAGACACCAGCCTTGTCCTGGACCAACCCTGACTCCCACCACGCCTAAAGGAGTGTTTAGTTTTTAAAAAACATTCTTCCCATGAGTCAAAGATAGGGAAGAGAAGGCAAAACTAAAATATCAAGAAGAGGCCTCCTCCAGCAGCAGGTGGAGGCAAAAGTCAAAGCATGAGCCACTGGAAGCCTCAGCAGACCCAAACTCCAACACCAGCTCAGTCATTACATCTATTTCCATCCCAAATCACCCTTCCCAAAACAAGGCCCTCCCCTGGGAGCAGCCACCCAAGGGTCTTCAGCCTAACAAGCCCTTCTGGGCATCCTGAAGAAGCCTCTAAAGGTCTCGAAACCCTCTAAGGAAGCTTATGGCAGACCTACTTCATCCTTCTAACAAGCCCCTGGGCACAAGCTCACAGACACTAAGGAGAAGGAAACTTTCCTCCTTGTTAAAGGAAAGGAGAACTTGTAGAGCACTTTAGTTTGTGACAACTTCTCCACAGCCTGAAGTTCCTAACTTCTGCCTTTGGGTGAGGGAAAGGGACATGAGCAGCTTATTTCTCTTGGAGAACTTCTTGGCACCTGCCTGTATCAGCAGTGGGGTGGGGGGTGGTGTGAGCTCCTC